TGGAAAGAAAAAAAAGACAATGTTTGCATATAGCAGCTAATTTGACACCCCGTTGTTGTTAGCCTAGCCTTCACACAATGTGCATGCATATACAGCCAGAGTTCACTGCATGTGTTTGACGTTAAGAACTGCTGCTTATTCAAGTCACAGATGTCCTCATGTTATGCAATGAGACAGATGAGTTGCATATCCACCCCACCATAAGAATAAGGAAAAAAAAAATGATGAAATAAATGCAGCAAATAGAGGCAGAACACGCCAAAAAAGCTAACACTCATGAATTGTCATTATAAGCACGTTTCTTTCCTTTAAAAAACAAAAATAACAGTCTTTTTTTGCATATTTTAAAATACAAGGGTCCCAGAGCATCATGAAGTGCCTTGTCGCTTTTGCTGATGACTTCTAGTTGTTTTTTGCACTGCTGGTAGTAAGTAGAAAGGCTTTTGTTTTCATCTAAAAGCTTTTTATGTTCCTGTACCAGACAAGATGTATTTTGCTGGTCCTTCTCATCCTGGTCCAGTTCTGCAACTAGTTCTTGCTTTCTCTGTAATAACAAAGCAATTTCTGTTTGAACTTTCATATATTCCTCGGCCATTTTACAATGCTATTCAAACACTGCCATAGACTCTTTGGAGTTTGGGCATGGTGCAAGAGGCTGTAGTTGGTGATCCAGTGTAAGATAAGCCATTGGTATGGAGTTATCGGACCCATTAGTATCTGACCAGGTTCTGTTCCAGTAACAGTCAAGTCTTGGATGGATCTACGTCTTGGCTGTCCATTGCCTGATATGACGATCTCAGGGACATCCAGAATGTTGCCAAATGAAGCGGTTTTACGGTGGCCCCGTTTAGGCTTGGAAAAGGCTGTGGATGCAGCTATCCTTGCTTCTATTTCAGCCATGTCAGCACTCATCCGCTTGCCTTCAGAGGTTGGGGGCAAGCTCTCCACACTGCTTCCACGGGAAGCTCCCAAGCTTAAACGTCCAGATTCACTCTGTTGTTTTGCCTGATTTTTCAATAATTTTGATTCTAAATGTTTAATAGTATCATTTGTGGCAGGAACTTGCTCCATATTAGTATCACTTTTATTACTTGTATTTGTAGACGTGATATCCATGAATGAGCCTGTACTGGTGGCCGAGTTGCTCTGTCCTTCATCTGAATACTGACAAGGATATTGTAAAGGCTCATCTGCTCCTGGAAAGTACCGCATCAAGTGAGTCATTATTTTCACAATCTCCTCCATAGAAGGACGTTGAGATGGATCGTTAGACCAACAACGAGTCATCAGGCTTTCAATGGGCTTAGGCAAATTTTTGATCAGTGGTGGTCTAGTACCGTTGTGAACTGCCCACATTATACAGAAAGCGGGACCACCAATTTCATCAAAAGGTTTCCGACGAGTTATTACTTCCCAAAGGATAATACCCCAGCTGAAGACGTCACATTTTTCACTGTAATTACTACCTTCAAAAACTTCAGGTGCCATCCATGCAGCACTCCCCTTGTTATTGGTCATATGTGTCTGAATGTCGC